CAGAAATTCTTATTACCTTGAGCTCATTTTATCGAACACGTGTTGGGCGTAATCCATGTCGATACAGACACCATCATCATATTCATGCCCGATTCCGTGTTAGGCAGAGTCTTCGTGGAGGAGCACTTGAGGATACGGCGTACCCGACGAAGCCGACGCTTCAGAATCTCGACGAACCCAGCAATCTCCCCGCGCCGCCGCAGTTGCGCCGTGCTCCCCGCGCCGACTCCTCACAGCTGCGCCATCCTCTTCGCGCCGCCCGACGCAGCCCGTGCTCCCCGTGCCGCCTGACCCAGGCGCGCCGCCTCCCTGCAGCCGCGCTGTCCTCCCCGAGCCGCCTCCCCACAGCTGCGCCGCCCTCCCCGCGCGGCCCGACGCAGCCGCGCCGTACTCCCCGCGCCGCCCGATGCAGCCGCGCTGCCTCCCCACAGAGCCCGCGCTGGATCAGGAGGCCCATGCCGTCCCTCGATGGCTCGAACCCTATCGCAACAAGTGAGAAGCTGCTGGCACGAGCTGGGCCGAGACTGTGGGTTTGAATTTTTTGGTTATTTTCGGTGAATTTTTGAAAAATCATACTAAATCATAGAAAAATCATAAAATAAAAAATCTAATTTTATTGGACTCCACATGAGTAGATCTACACAGTGAATATATAATACGGTATGCTTTAGTACAAAATTTTTACTATAGCCTTAGATTAATTGGAAAATCTAATTTTGTCTGTATTTAATTGGAATAATTCATAGCTGCAGCTTCTATGGTTCAATTGTGATGAAATTTTTATGGTACGCTAATTATTGTATGCTTGAACTATAGTAAAAATTTCGTACTCATTGGACTATGTATAACTTAGTTATAGATAAATTCTAATTAATTACCGAAAAAATTGGATTTTCCAATTAATCTAAAGCTACAAAAAAAAATTTGTACTAAAGCATACCGTATTATATATTCACTGTATAGATCTACTCATGTGGAGTCCAATAAAATTAGATTTTTTATTTTATGATTTTTCTATGATTTACTATGATTTTTCAAAAATTCATCGAAAATAAATAAATAAAAAAAGAAAATTCAAACCCATCGGCACTGTAGCAAACACACCGATACTGTAGCAAAACCGCTGTCAAAAACCGCCCGGGGGATAAAATGGACGGTTTTGAAAAGTTCAGGGGGGTAAAACAGACAGTTTCATAGTTGGGGGGTGAAGTAGACCATGTAGGAAATGTGGAGGTTAAGTAGACTTTTTCCAAATGTTATAGGTACTAAGGCATTTTTTTTTTGATAAAACGCCTCTAATTAGGTATTTAAGGCGTTTTATTGTTTTGCCTTAAAAAATATTTTCAAAGGCCTATTGAGAGAAATGCCATTATAAAATAAGAAATTAAAGGCACTTTAAAAAAATGCCTTTAACAAAATGCCTTCTATTGAGAGACACGTTGTAGTGTGGCTGGCGGACAGCAGCTTGCCGTAGGGTCTTGGACTTTCCTTTCCTCTACCTCCCCTTCCCTCCCTCTCACCGTGACAGTTCGAGCTTGGCGGGGAAACACTACCTAATGAGCGCACGAACGTTGGGTAGGCGTAGTAGCAGGCGTGGGGCGGACAGGAAGCACAACAGGCGCGGACAGACCCAGCAACGTGCGCAGCAGGCGGGGCAGGCGCAGACATCCAAACGTTCGGGTGCTAGCCACGCCAATATTTTTGTGCCTCTATGAACATAGGAGTCTGGAGGGGTAGGCCATTTAACAACTCGAAACAGTCAGCGTGAAATCCAGTCGTATCCATACCTGCTCTCGGTTGCAGCGACGCCAAATTCATGAACGTAGTACTCTGGATCAGATTTGGCTCTGATCGGACTCGTACATACGTGCATGCAAAGACTTCAGAATGAATTGAAGGTTTTTATTTACGTATACTCCTACATGAAATGAGCACGTCATCGGGGACCGAATTCCGAGGCGGATCTATCCCTGGTGGTTTACCGAGGTCCAGCTACTACCTACTGGTAGAGTCTCTGCGATGTGATTCCATGTCATGTGCCCGTTCTTTTGTCTCGAATGCCACCGGCCACCGATTTGGTCGGCTAACTACTTGAGCATGGCGCGCGGAACCCGTTTTCTACAAGTTGAATATGCTGCGACCATGTTAAGCTCGTAGAAAATCCTACATCTAACGGTGAGTGTAAGCATGTGCAGCGCCAGGCCGGCTGCTACTAGGCCCTACTATACCTTTTTGCAAAAGGGACGACGGCGAAGTACGTACTTTCTAAAAACGGATCTGCAAAAGAAAGAAAGAAAGAAAGAAAGAAAGAAAGAAAGAAAGAAAGAAATGAGTTCAAAATTGGCATTAGCATGTTGATTCTTTGAGGAGGATGCTACATTTAGACCGTTGCAGCGTTTAATACAGTGTACATACATACACACCTCTGGAAGAAATGGTGATGTTTGGTTTATAGCCAAATCTTGCTAATTTTTGCCACATCAAAGGTTACACGAGTCTGATCAGAGTTACTTAGGTTTTTGGTTGTAAGCTTGCAGTCACAACTGTGTGTATATATATATGACAGAGAGAGAGAGGTTGCATTTAGACTATTGCAGAGGTTTGTAACCAACTACTTCTCAGTTCAAACAAATGGAGATAGATACTCTCCCCGTCTTGAAACATAAGAGTTCTTTCAAGCTTGTAGAGACGAATATTAATATTTACCATATTAAAGAGATAGATTAACAAAATATATGTTTCAGAATGTATCTGATGAACCTTGTTTGGTATCGCAAAATATTGTTATTCTTTTTCTACTTTTGCCAAACTACGGTTCTTTGATTTAAGACAACTGAAAATTTCTTACATTTAAGGCAGTGGCGTCCCTAGGATGTGAGAGTTGGATATTGCCATCTCTTAAGTCATTTTTCCAATGAAGATATGCTAAAGTTCATTGTATCATAAATAAAACATAATTTGTTCAAACTAAACACATCTCAAATTATAAATTACAAAAAGATTAACGAACATTACATTTTATATTTGCATTCCTTCAGGTCTTCGTAGCATTTATTTGATGGCTCCATGGTCCTTAACTTCCACGAAAAATTAACGTAAGTTCAACAAATTTATGTCAACACATATTGTAGTTGGTTGTAGTGACGATGCGATAACATGTGCCTTCACAGTGCAGCCCACAAATATTTCAAGTAATTAGATTTCCTCTTCATTTTTCAAAGTCCTTACATCAGTGTGACCTATATAATCGTGCGTTTAAAAGATGCATACCTCTAAGATATTTTTCATTCATCAGTTACACAAGGAAAGAACCAAATCCTCGTTTACACGGCTAAGATCTCCATATAGATAACAATATTTTAAATCCCGTGGTTTCTTTAAAAAACTAAGTTATACCAGGATGGAGCAGAAGATATTTCATTTGGCATTTTATAGAAAACGTAAAAAAATCTCAATTTATTATGTACGGAGACATTTAACTAACTAAAAATTTATAAACACAAATAATGAAATACATGCACGGGGCTCTATGAGAACATGCCTCCATGCCCATTACTAGCCGTTAGCACTCACATATCCTTCAACATACACATTTCTATAATCAATATTTATGTGCATTCCATCCTGGCCTTTCGATCAGGGGAAGGGGCATGTGCCCCGAGGCCGCTGCCGACATCCAGCCTGTTCACTTGGTCGTATTTGACTTATAAGTCATGGCTTATCAATCAACGAATAGTATTTTTCTCTTACACCAAACCAGCCAACGGTACTTTCAGCCATGCCTTATAAGCCAAACCAGCCCAAACGAACAGGGCCATTGATCGGGGGAGGGGGCATGTGCCCCGAGGCCGCTGCCTTCATAAAGTCGGCGGCGGCCTAGACTGCGGCCGTGGCGGCCTCGGTCTCTGCCTTGTCCACGGACACGACGTCGCCGGCCCGCCGGCACGATGAGATGGGCAACGGACTTGGTCGCCCAGGCCCCTCCACCATCTCGTGATGTCTTATCCAAGAGAGAAGCGCCCCCTCTAGTGGGCTCAGGCGCTTGCTGGAGGTGGGTGGCACAGGAGCCGGCTGGGGGTCCTGATGAGCTAGCAGCACCTCGGGTGGCGTTGGAGCCACCATTTTTTTTTTGAATCGGAGCCACCATTTATTGAGCCAGTGTAAGGATCTAGATGCTAGATGGGATGAATAGGCTATAAAAATTTCTTCTACAAAACACAAATCACTACAGCAAAGTAGTTAGGAGGCAGCTCCTTTTGAACTTTCTTGTTGTTGGTTTGCGTTCTGGTTTCACGTTTGTTGTTGGTGTGTAATAGAAGCTTTGGTTTGTTTTGGTGTTGTTATGTACGCTGGTAAGCCCATCAATACTACCTTTAGGCTTTCAATACAAGTTGGGCTAAAAGCCTTTGGTCTAGAATAAGGCTTTTACGCTGGAACTCTAAACTCTATGCCATAGGGCAGCAAAATCTTTTCTCTAAGGCTATGTTTGGTTTCTAGGAATTGAGGGTATGTGAGGGGAAGGAGTCTTGGGGAAGAAGAAGAACAGAGGTAGATGGGGATTCTGAGGAAAGCTTCATTCAGATAGAATATTTGAATACATCATGCATGTTCTTTCATAGTTCATGTCTCGTTCACACCCTCTCTTACCCATAACATCAAACAATCTAAGCTGAGCCTGCATAGCGCTGGTTGGGCCTTCGGTTCCCCTTGGGCCGGCTGGTGGGCGAAGCCGTAGGCGAGTCCGCTGGCGGATCTGCTGCAGGATCGGCGGCATCCTTGACCCTTCAGGCTGCTGACAGAGTAATTGAAAAGTAATCTAACAACAAAATAGAACACTTTATAGATATTGATTTCAATCCATATACCTGGGGAAATCTTCCTAAAAAACTACCAGAAATAGAGCTACTATCCGCCTCCGTCCACGATTTAAGGACGGATGGAGCATGAGCTATATGGACAACACTGATAACCATGTGGAGCGTATGGAATCCTTGTGGACTTCAGTTGGATGGCACGGCAGCCTCAACCTCAGTTTTCGAATGACCACCATTGTCATACTCCTCAAGCAGACCATACCAATATTCGTTAATGGCTTCCTGAAACTGGCCAGGGCTAACCTCGCCCGCAGGAACCATGACGCGGCCATGCTTGTCCAACTCGTCGCGGGCCCAAGCTTGGAACGGGAAGAACTCGTCCTGCTCGGCCTGCAACCACTCGATCTCCTCCTGAAGGCGCTTCAGCTTCACGGGATCGCGGGTGCTGTAGTCGTCGAGGGTGGGGGCGGGGTCGGTAGCGGCCTTATTGTCCGCCGGCGTAACCGCGAGGGAATCCTCCGTCGGATCCTCTTTTCCCGCCATCCCTGGGTGATTGCGAGCGAGGGTGGGCGAGATTGAAATCGAATTTGGTGACGCGGTGTGCTGTGTGGATTGGAGAGGGGGGGATCGCAAGGCGCCGGCGGTCTCGCCCTCGCCCTCGCCCTCGCTCGCGCCCACGTTTTATGAACCGACTTTAAACCGGGCCGAGGTCACCTACTAATAGTGCGAGTCAGAAGTCGGAACGGAACCAGACTCCAGAGCCCAGAGCCCAGAGTCCAGACACAATCGGATTGGGCCGTTTCCGAAAGCGAGCTTCTCTCTTGACTCTTGTCCTCTTTGTCCCTGCACCTTCGAGTCGAAGTGAACAACCCGTTTCTCAGAGACCGAGTGGAGGCCCAGATAAGCCAGGTTACTGGCTGTCGATGTGCTACTGCAACACGGCCGCTCTCAAAGCAGCAGCTGACCAGCTGAGGCAATAATAATAATAATAAAGTATAGGAAAACAACCGGGCATCTCACTTGCGTGCCGTTGGATGGCACGGCACCAAGTCTTTCTTCCTCGCCTGCATCTGCATGAAGATGACACGTGTGACCATGATGTGGTAACGTCATCTGCAGTACACGTATGGCGGATAGGTGATGACTTGTCATGACAGACACTGACGGACACATATGTTGTAGGTACAACATATCATCGCCCACCTAAAGCTACGTTTGTACGACTTTACGTATCTCTCTCTAATCTCTATCTCTAAACCTAAAAGACTATAAAAGTAATCATCTACTCGGTGATACCAAATCTCGCTACCATACAGCACCAGGTGATCCGTACGAAGTCCTGACCCGATAGGAAGAGTCCGCGTCTGGAACCACAGGCCGAGTCAGGAACTTACATCCCGTTTAGTTCCACTTCATTTTGCAAAATTTTTAAAGATTTTCCGTCACATCGAATCTTTGGACGCATGCATGAAGCATTAAATATAAATAAAAAATAAAACTAATTACACAGTTTAGACGAAATTCACGAGACGAATCTTTTAAGCCTAATTAGACTATGATTGGACACTAATTGTCAAATAACAACGAAAGTACTACAGTACCATTTCGCCAAAAATTTTACAAACTAAACCAGGCCTTAACCAAAGCATATACCGGACACTGCTAGCCACCTGGACGTTTATTTAATCCCATCTATACTACTTCCGATCCACGCTCAGCCGCCTCCAGTACGCGAGGTCGCTCCGGGAAGGAGTGCCCGGCTCCTTCGGCGAGGATGTGTGTAGATGATTGGAATTTTTTTTCTCCTGGTTTGCCTGCGTGGGTGTGTGATTAATTATTAATTTTTATTATTTTCTAAAACTGATCAAATTCATCAATGTAGTCGTGAACAAAAATTTATGACTCCCGTACAACGCACAGGTATATATCTAGTACTAATAAAAAGATACGGTATTTGGCTAGAGCGTTGTCTGACAGTTTGATGAACTTGGCCACGAGATCACATGTGTCGCCTCCAGGAACAAATGTTTACCTTGAAAATCGTCTGAACGGACTGAAACTTCTTCTCCCAACGTGCTCACCGGCATTCATTCAGTCGCCGACCATTACCTAGAACGCCACATGGCCCTGGCATATGCAGCGATGCTTCTTTGCTTTTGCTTCCTACTAGTAGGATATTGTATGTAATTGCCAAGTTGTGATTTCTTTCTCCAATCACTAGATTATATTTCGACACATGGTCTTCTCTCAGCAGTGTTTGCCAATGCAGTAGCCACCAAACTTTTTCATCAGCAGGAAGCGTGACGCCCGATCCTTCTGAAAGTAACATCAGGCATTTCCCTGCAGACGCGTCTTACTGTAGTAATTAATTATTAAATATAACGTCGCATTCCCTGTGGTGTCATGACTCATGAATAATGTTAGCAGTCCACTTCATCATCAGATATAAATATCTCTGTAATTCGTTCGCCCGAAAAAAGTTCAGAAAATGATTGTCTGAGCTTCTGTTACTGACAACCCTTGTAGGAGTAGTTATATCTGATTGCTAATTAAGGATGACCTAACAAACAGAGTCACCTAATAACTGTTCTTTTGAATACAAGGCAATCAAGGAATCACCTAATAACTGTCAGAAAGGTAGTGCAGTGCAAATATGAAGTTCACAATGGCGAGACCGTTACGGTTGGTGACCAATCTGCACACAAGATTCAAACCAGCAATCCATGTCCCCCAACCCAAACAGATGAACGCATGAATCTGACCTATACTTGCTCCCCCTGTTTAATATCCACGCTGCAACCTGCTCTAGGTTAAGGATAAGAGCCAGGCGGACGAGAGATATGCATGGTGTTACATCAGTACTGCCGACTGTGACCTTAGCTACTGATTGTGAGGATCAGAATAGTAATCAGATGCCAGTTGTGGTACACTGAACCTAACACGGAGACGATCAGTCCCTGTGCTAGTTCTGACACAAACAGATGATCGCATCACAGGACCAAAATTTTCAGAACAGACAGAAAGAAAGCACAAAGACCTGCGCTCGGTTTCCCCAGTGCTACCATTCAGATGACCTAACCTAGCTCATTGCTGATGATGTGCTCGTGTAGGAACAAGGAGAAGACACAAGGTAGTGGTGCAAGTGATTTTAAAAAAAACATCCAAAGTAGACTTCGGAACAGAACAGAAGTTCATATTAAATTTGAAATTGTTCGTTTTGGATGGCTCCCAACAACTACTAGATTCGAGTCTCCTTTTCATATGGGTCAGCCCGTGTGATTACGCGCGCGGCAGCAAAAGGCCAAGTGTACGCTTGCTGCCCGATTTCCTAATGCAGGCAGAGACGGACAGCGAATTGTGCCGCGGGGCCGGCGCCTCTGTCTCACTCACCGGCACCGCTTGTTCTGTCCGGCAGCCATTCAGTGCTTCTAGCGTCCGTCCGTCCTGCGTCGTATGCATGCTTGCTCGCAATAGAGAATGCTTGGCTGAGCTCGTGGTGTTTGTACCGTTCCGGCAGTACGGTTATACAGCTGTCATACGTATTGCAGAACAGTACTTCCTCCGTACCAAAATAAATACGAAAACGCTATACGTCAACCGTATGATTTATTTGCCACCGTCAACCGAATTTTCCAGCGTTGGATCTGACTTCGGCCCGAGAGCTGCCGCCCGATCTATCGCCTACGTCACGCCACCCCCGCCCTTCGAGCATTGGATCTGATCGATCACGTTTTGTCTCGTCTCTGGGTGGACTCGCATATGCCACAGCACGTGTGTAGCCCCGGGTACGGCCCGCGCGTCGGCCTCCCCGCCGCGACCTCGTCGGCGATGATGATAAAGCAGCTGCAGCAACTCATGCCGACGCAACCACTGCAGCAGCAGCAGCAGCAGATGTGGTTGTACCATATCTCGCAGTACCAGCCGAGGCCGGACGCTACGCCTTCACCGGTGCATACCGAGTATATAATGATATTTATTACACATCATGAACACATTAGTATTATTGTGTAAATATTTGGTCAAACTTAAAATAATTTGATTCCTTGGTAAGCGAGATGTGCACATATTTTAAGGTCAAGAGAGTACGCGACAGACTAATAGTGCAACAGCGTGTGTAAGAGTTAGACGTGGACGATGATGCATGCTCAAAACAGTGTGTATGGCACATCTTGGTATCTAAACAAATTAGAGTTTATGGTTTTATGGTTTTAGGGTTTAGAGTTAGGTTTTATAGTATAGGATTTCTGTTTTATGGCCGGTTCGTTTGCCGACTTATCAGCTAGAATCTACAGTATTTTTCTCTCCTAACAAAACAGCTTCAGTCGACTTTAATACCAGCCGAACAGTCCCTTAGGGTTCAAAGGAATCATGGTACCGGTCGATTTAGTGAGTAATCAATTTGATGCTGCAATTTGGTTTGGCGTTTAGCTCGAGGTTACGAGAAAATGATAGTGAAAATGTCAGTTTTGAAAAGTTGAACTGGTAATAGTATATAGAAAAAACTTTTCATTTCAAACACACCGAGGCTGTGACTCTTATTTAGGCTGTAAAATAAAGAATAAACACAAATGTTTTCATGCCTTACCCCTTGTTTAGTTTCACCCCAATTTCCAAAAAGTTGCTACAGTACCTGTCACATCGAATGTTTGTGGCCCGTGCATGGAGCATTAAATGTAGACGAAAAGAAAAACTAATTGCACAGTTTGGTGGGAAATTGCGAGACGAACGTTTTGAGCCTAATTAGTCCATGTTTGAACACTATTTGCCAAATAAAAACGAAGGTGCTACAGTAGCCCAAAATCTAAATTTCGCGAACTAAACAAGCGCTTAGGTTATCTTCGGAGATATTACTGCATCAAGCGTGTCTATACTCAAGCTATTCCAAAAGCAAAAAAAAAAAATGTATCGGTTTACTTTTTTACCCTCCCCCAACACTTAGGTTATCTTCGGAGATATTACTGCATCAAGCCTGTTCGCTTGCTCGTAAACGATCGTAAATTTCCAGCCGGGAACAGTGTTTTTCTCTCACACCAAACCAGCCAACAATAAATAATCCACGATACGATACGGCCTCCCGAACAGGCTTATCCTGCTGCTTGTACAAGCCTCCACTAACCAGAGCATGCATGCTGCAGTGCTACCACTGGACTACAATGATCGGCATGCACACATTCAATGCAACCTGCCACCACATGCCAGGGTCAACACGTGATTGCAGCGTTTTTATAGTTTTCATAACCAACAATACTCGTTGTAAGCATTTAATGCCACCGAAGGTCGTAGTCCATCCTAGCCGTTTGATCGAGGGAGGAGGGGGGCATATGTGCCCAGCGGCACCACATCCACGTTTGCCAACTGGCACTGTGAATAACCAATCAACATTACAGGACTTGCACACGCACGAGTGTCGCGTAGTGACACAAGATCATGACAAATACCTAATTCATGATAGACAAGGAGTTCTCTGCACTCCACCGTCAAACGACCACAATGTCGGCCTATACTATAGATCTAACATTCACTGTTGGCTCCATCGCCGTCGTTTTTTAACAAACCGACAATGATAATTATAGATCTGACATTCACTATTGGCTCCATCACTGTTGTTTTTTAACAAACCGACAGTGATAATCACTGTCGGTTTTTGGCTAAAACCGACAGTGATAGGACCAACCGACACTGATATTGGGTCATTACTATCGGTTTTTGGCTAAAACCAACACTGGTACAGTAGTATCAGTGTCAGTTTTAGCCAATAATCGACAGTGATATTGGGTCATCACTATCGGTTCTAACGTCATAACTTTCTCTTATGATGTTCGATGAAGACGAACTTTATATAAATTGTAGTACTTGACGAGATCTACAACTTTGTAGTTCAAACTTTTTTTATTTTGGGATCGTTTGGATGTCCAAATATACTCCACAAGATTTTGTAGAGTTAATGCCAAAGGAGTCCATATGCTCTATAATTATAAGTGAGTGTGCAGTGATAGTTAAGGATCTCCGACGAAGAAGTGACCAAAACAAATGTTGTAGTTATTAAAAACTTATACAACTTTGTAGTTTAGAACTTTCTTATTTGAATTAGTTATGATGTCACTCTATTTGATTCACAAGATTGGTTTTTGGCTAAAACCGACAGTGATAGGACCAACCGACACTGATATTGGGTCATTACTATCGGTTTTTGGCTAAAACCAACACTGGTACAGTAGTATCAGTGTCAGTTTTAGCCAATAATCGACAGTGATATTGGGTCATCACTATCGGTTCTAACGTCATAACTTTCTCTTATGATGTTCGATGAAGACGAACTTTATATAAATTGTAGTACTTGACGAGATCTACAACTTTGTAGTTCAAACTTTTTTTATTTTGGGATCGTTTGGATGTCCAAATATACTCCACAAGATTTTGTAGAGTTAATGCCAAAGGAGTCCATATGCTCTATAATTATAAGTGAGTGTGCAGTGATAGTTAAGGATCTCCGACGAAGAAGTGACCAAAACAAATGTTGTAGTTATTAAAAACTTATACAACTTTGTAGTTTAGAACTTTCTTATTTGAATTCGTTATGATGTCACTCTATTTGATTCACAAGATTAATACCAACTAAAGGCATATGTTCCATAGTCATAAGTGAGTGCGTAGCGGTATTTGAGAATCTCGGATGGAAAAGCGACCAATTTTGACTGACCACCGAGGGGCGAGGCACCAACCCATTTACAAGGAGCTAAGCTAGCCAAGCAATGGAATGGAAAAGCACGGTAAGCAATGCAAGTGGAAACAACCGGTGTGTCCCAACTGTCGTGTGATATTGTCCACCAAAGCGTTCTGTTCTGTACATTACAGACAGCTCAAACGAGGCAGGAGACAGAAAGACAGACAGGCGAGAAGCAACGACGACGAGACGAGCCATGTGATCCGGTTGAAAATCGGCCATGGCCAGCGGCGGAGTTGCTTGTTGCTTCACGCTCGCTCAAGGCCGCCGTTCTTTTCTTTCGTTTCATTATTCTTTCCGGCCTCCGCCGGGACGCTACTGCTGCTCCTACTTATCCCACACATCAGCAGCTCATGTACAGGGGACAGGGGAGGAAGAGGGGACTCGGACTCTCCTCTCGCTCGCGTGTCACTCTGTCAGCGTTTGTTAGTCGTCTCTCTCTCCAGTCCTGTGGCGACCAAAGCCCAGCCAAAAAGGCAGCGGCACGGAGGAGCTAGAGCAATTCTACAGTTGAGTTCAGGGCCAGCCAGAGGCCCAATTCCGTTCCAGCTTCAGCTTCAGCTTCTGGCTTCTGCCGTTCACTCCCCACTCGTGCGTGTCGCAGGGGAAGCAGCCCTCCTGGGCGATGTCAGTGATCTGGACGCCCGTGTCGTAGACCTCGCCGGCGCGCCACCGCCGCGGCAGCACCTCGCGGTCGGCCCACACCCACTTGCCGTCGTAGCCGCCCGTCACCACCACCCTGAGCTGGAGCGGCCCCGGCGGCGCCTGGCTCGTGCTCCACGCCGGCCCGTTGTCGCGCGTCATGAACTTCCAGTTGGACGAACCCACCTGCACGTCCAAAGTTTTTTTCTTCTTCTCAAAAGGCTCCTTTATTTCAAACCAATTCATTCAGACCCGAATTTCCTTTCCAAACACGTTTCGAATTAATCCAGAGGAAAGAAAAAAGGCGAGCCGTACCTGCGCGACGTCGACGGCGACGATGTCGGTCTGGCCGCCCTGGTAGAGGAACCTGATGGCGAGGTCCCCCGGCGCGCGGCTCTTGTCCTCCACCCTCACCGACAGGTTCCTGTGCTTGTACTCGCACGGCACCCTGCACATGCGCGGCGCTGACAAAACTCAGCCACCAATCATCGTCCCGGTTGGGTGTTTGATGTGTTTCCATTCGCAATTCATTCAAGGGAGAGTTTATGGCGGCAACCAACTGCCCAACTGTTCTTGCGCCTGTCGTCTTCTATGCTACTCCTACCGTAGGATGAATATGAATGAAAGGCATGGCACGGTTGGTGAAAAAAACAGGTGTGGTTGGTTTAATCGATTGGTGTTTATTTCCTTTTTCTTTACCTCTTGTACTCGACGTCGACGGTGCGGAGGCCGGCGAGGCGCCTGGCCATGCCGGGGCGCGCCATGGCGGCGAACGCGGTGCTGCTGAGCACGAGGTCGGTTCGGTTGGTCCTGGCTAGACCGGTGACCACCACCCTGGCGCCCGCCGCGGCGCAGAGCTTCTTGTCCTTGCAACGCACCTGCGCATAGTGGGGGCACGCCGAGACAAGCCGAATCAGGGGACACGAACAGCACAGGTAATAAATATAGACGACTGATTGGGAATCGAGAGCGCGATCGGCGCCGGCCAGGGCCGGCCCGGTGGTGATTGGTACCTGGAAGCAGGCGCCGCAGCCGACGCCGGCGCGGTACAGCGCGGGGCTGGCGGCGGCGAGGAAGCCGGCGCTGAAGGAGGCGGCCTCGGTGCCGTACCCGCAGGAGCCGCCTGCATCATGTCAGGCCACAGCAATCGGAAGCGATAAGAATCCACGGTGAATTGCTAGAGACGAAGGAAGCAGAGCAAGCGATGGAGCCGTCGTGTACCGGCGAGGGTGAGGGAGGAGGTGTAGTAGGCGGCCTTGGAGTGGCGCACGCAGCGGTCGCAGGCGGACGCGAGGAGCGGGAGCCACCAGACGAGGAGCAGCAGCGGGAGCGTGGTGGAGGCGGCGAGGCCGGCAGGGACGGCCATCGTGTCTCTCGGCCGATGGATGGATGACTTGATGGTTGGCTGCTTGGCCTTGGCTCAGGCGAGACGAGGGAGAGAGGGGCGAGCTTGTGCTTCACGACTGCTTTTATACACCACCACGACCCAAACCTCGCCTAGTGCCGCCACAGTCACTAGAACAGCGAAGTCGGGCCACCGGCTCCACCTCCGCGGCTCCGCCCAAAGGCCAGGCCGGCCGCCCGTGCAACAGGCCAACAGCGCGGCACGGGCGGTGGTGGAAACTGGAAAGGCGCAGCGGGGCGTCAGCGGAGCGGACCACTGCGCCGGACGGGGCCCCTTTGGCCGCTTGCACGCCGGGGCATCAAACGTGCGTGGGCTTCCTTTCGTGACGTCCTTCTTCTTTCCCCCCTCTCCGGTGGCAAGTACAGACACACGGACTAGTATAATTCTGCTGAATGGTGAGGAGCAAAGGCCACAGCTTTTGCAGATCCTGCAGAGACTTCCGTTTTGGAGATAGATATGCTGCACAGGAACTGCACTTGTTTGCTACTGGAGCCAGCGTGTTCCGGCACGCTCTCCCTCTTGCTCTGGGACGGCACACGGCGGGGGCCAATGGGGCCATTGTGCGTGGTCACGGCAGCACGGGTTTTGCAAAGTTGAATCAAAATGGGGGTGTTTAGTTCCCCAAATTTCCAGAATTTGGCACTATGCAAAAAGAAGATTTCCCGTCACATCAAACTTGCGGTACATGCATGGAGCACTAAATGTTGACGAAATTAAAAACTAATTGTACAGTTTGGTTGTACTTTGCGAGACGAACGTTTTGAGCCTAATTAGTCAACAATTGAACAATTATTACCAAATAAAAACAAACGGCACTGTACCTACAGTGCCGCTACTCACCGGGTATTATGCCCATTAAATCACTAAAAATCATGTCAAGAACCGTTCCACCCACCGGGTATCTATAGACCATACCCGGGGGTGAGGTGAAATTACAAAGGAGTCGGACGATTACCCGCAGTGCTGTACAAATAGCCGGGGGCATAGTGGCAACTTCTTCCTCCCCTGTCAATTGCTCCAACCTAGGCGCCACCGGCTCTTGCTCTTTACACACCCTCGCCTCATCCCCCACCGACGGCTACTGTCGGTGTTTTTGGACCACCGATGAGTAAATTTGTATTTATGCGTCTGGCTCGAATGGTGTGCTCTTACGGAGGCGCTTGTCTTCCACTGACACTAAGCACCCCGAGAGTGAGCTACGTCGGGCAGGTTTCATCGAGCACACCCCAAAGCAGAACCCGAATAATCCATATTTTCCCCAAGGATCCAATAATGAGAACGCGTTATAATACTTAGTCCATTTCATACATCCAGAGTTCTTAGAAATGTATTATTACGTTACCAAATTCAGAGTGCGAAATATTAAACAGCGAAATGAAAATACACATCTATCGATAATAAACAAGGATCTGTCTGTGCCCACCAGAAGAATCATTCACACAACGGCTACTACTCAAGCATTACCAGCAACAGGGGTAAATAAACTCTGAGTACATAATATACTCGCAAAACTTATCCGACTAGTGGGAATAATTTCCCGACTCCAAGGAATATGATAAGCTTTATGGTTTGCTGGGTTTCCTTTTTATGGTAAGCAATACTAATAGTGAATCCTTATTTATGTTATTATTAGCGGTCATGGTTAATTCATTATCTAGCCATTCTATGTAAGCACATGTTCTAGTTTCAAGCAAAAGTTGAGCAAACAGTTCCATTTCATCACCTTTCATCTTTCAGTTCTTACTACGGTGCTAGACTACAGATAAGCCGTACCGGAACGCCGGCGATTCGTGAATCAATGTGCCCAGCTGGGTACCCCGAAACACACGCCCCGCTTGTACCCCAGGCATAAGCAGGACCAGCCCATCACTCTCCTATCACGGGGTCTAGGTCCCCATCCAAACTTGGACTCCAACCCCCGCTCCTAAGTCCCGAACTTAGTGCGGTGCTTAGACCTCCACTATCTCTGCCTCCAATCAGTCGGTCCGAAAAGAGCCAGAATCCACGATAAGAGAGCATCAAGCCTTCCCTGCGCCCATACCCAAGTATGTGCTCGGGATAATAAGTCTGTGACTTGCCTAGAACCCAATGCAACGGCCAGTCCTTAACCGACATAGACAGGGAAAAAGTGTAACCAAGCTATACCCTGTTGACTGCAGGACACAACCTCTTACACCCACCAATACCCAAACCATATCCCTGTCCGATCTCCATTTTTCTTTCCACTATTTTATCATGAGTGATAATAATCACCTATTGTGAGTAACGGCATGTTACTCACGCTACCAAATCCTGAGCATAGCAGCTACTCGACCTATACTAGTAGGACTCGTAGGTAAGTATATTTATGCATGTAGTTTCCATAAAATGCCTGAAACGTAAATGCACATCATATATATGTTCAATGATCATTAAAAAATAGGGGTTATGCACCGAGGCTTGCTTTGGGCAGGCGGTGTGTCAACAAAATCAGCAACGAACGGCTCTGGGGCTCCCTCCTGTATGAGAACCTCCTCCTCGTACTCCTCAATAATCTCCTCATAGTCCAGTTCGTCAGCAGGCACGAACTCTACCAACTCGTTATCTATATGCATGAAATGATGATGCAACACTTAGTAATACGACAACAACAACTCTTAAAATACGAATACACCTATCAAGCTACTAAGCTAGTTCTACCGGCTAAGGTGCTAAGTTACCTATTGTTACCACTAACAAGTATGAAACATGACATGTATTATCTTAACAACTAATGGCATTCTTACTCTTAATACTGATTTACTATATATATACTAAAACAAGGAGTACTAGCTACTCTATTTACCAACCTACTTAAGGGCTACAAAAATTACAGTGATTATATAATAATCTAATGAATCTACTGTAAAAATTTTATGGATAAAGCTATCACCAATTTGCCACAAAAATTCCTACAATATTAAGCTAAATAATACTAAGCTCCCCTAAATGAATTAATGAATCTATCATTATCATAGATAATTGTAAACTAACTACACCAACAGCTAGATAGCATTTTTGTGAACATAACAAATTTTGTTTCACTATTTTTAGACATCTACAGAATTTATTATAATTTTACAAAGATCACTGAATAAACCTTTGCTAATTTACTGGGAAAAGGAAACTGGAATCCACCGCGCGGCCCACTACACGCGGCGTAGCCCACGTCTGCTCGGTGCGCGCGCTCGCGCTCCACCGGCGCGGCCCACGCAGGGGCGCGGCCCAGCCGAGCGACGACGGCCGGCAACGGGAAGGCCCACGCGCGCCGGTACATTTGCTAAAACGTCCTCTCTCTACTACCGAATCCAACCAAGGTCCACAACACTATTCCTTCAGTCAGCTATCTTACAAATACGACCCTCCCCCTTTCCTTCTTTACCACGACCGAGTCCCCCAAGCACCCGCGCATGAACCGGCGCGGTGGCGCTGACACAGGGCGGCCACGCCGGCCATACCAACCCCTCCCCACCCCCAATAACGAGCCGATGCTCACCTAAACGCAAACTCAAAGCGGTGGGTGGCGAATCGGTGAACAGAGACGTTGTCTCGAGCTCCCTCCACGGCGGCGGACCTCTTGCTGTGGTGGAGGTCGTGTTCTCGTGAGACAAGGCGCAACCGAAATGATAGGACTAGAGACTGGGCATCAACAACTCACCCAGAACCTACCAGACGTGATGGCTTGACCGGAGACGGGCCGAGTGAGCTCGGCCACGCGCGCACGGCAAGCTTCACGACGGCGGCGGTGGCGCGACTACGTCAGCGGCGCTGGGCAGGCAGTAGTAAGGCAATTTGGGGGTGCGCACAGGATAGAAGGGGAACAGGGCGAAGACACAGTGCCAATGAATTGAACGGAGGTGGACGATGCGTGGTGAATTGGACGGGCGCTACCGTGGGGTCTTAAGATGACCGACGGCGACGAAAACTTCAAATTGGGGCTAGACACTGGCTGGCAGCAGTAGTGGGAGGGCTCGGTGCGTAGCTAGATTCCTACTCAATCCTCTGGCGCACGTAATTACTCGGATTAGACCGGTGCTGCGAGCTGGCCTTAGCGCGGCTCGGTGACGCTGGCGCGGCACCATTAAAGGCAGAGATGACCGGGGGCGCAGAGCGATGCTTGCCACTCAAACAAAACAGACAAGGGCACACAGGGGAGGTTACACGTGGGCAAATGAGTCGGCACGGCTCGTGCGGCCGCAGCGCCTTAAATGGCAAACCGACGGCGACATGGCCATGTGCCGGTGCAGCTGCTCAGGCGGACACGACGCGAGCGGTGCAGGCGCACACGGGTGACCCAGCAATCACGACCACGACTAGCAGCAGCGTGAGGACACAGCGAGGCAGATGGAGGCAGACCGGCCAGGGCATCGGGCCCACGACGACAGCAGTGGCGGTAGAGCGGCCAGGCTCGTCGGCCCCTAGCGTCCTGCCGAGAGCGGCGTGCGCGTGAGTGCATGCGTGACTCACGTGCGTGAGTCGCGTGCATGGGCGCAGAGCCCGCGCGGGAGTGCACGTGTGTGTTAGCGGCGACGCCGGGCCGATGCACGGTGACCACGCCTAGACACTGAAACCGGTGGTAACGTGCCATGCACGATTTTTAAAGCACCCCAAAAATCCAACTCGATGGTTCAATTGCTAAAACACTTATTTTACACTCGAGATGGCATGTTAGGCTACTAAAACAAGCCCTAAGACCATACCACTACTTAACTCGATTCTTCTACAAAAATTGCCGAACTTAGCTTCGTCAAAGCATTTTCCGACTTAGGAAATTCGACTAAGTCTCGATCGAATTCGCGTTGAACTCGATTTCCAAGCTATTCGATACGCTAGCTAGTGAATTCCTTTCGCGATCGTAGGTATTTCATCGTCACCTACGAAGTTTGTACTACAAACTTTATTAACGTTCCGTATATGCGTTCTATAGCATTTTCGCTTAATAA